GAGAACCAAGCCTCCCAAGTTGGCGACTTGAAACACAGAAAACACTTAGCCAAAATTCAAATCCCTTCTTCCCAATCGAACTTGTTTCGTGATCAATCCATAGAAGCTTTTAATGCAAGAAATTTTGGATTATATCAATTAGGGTTAGGGTTTGGTGGTTCTTCATGTGCACGAGATTGTGACACTTGCATTCTTGTTTCCCACGCCTCCATTCTTGCGGTTTGAGCTTGTAGTGTCGCTTGTATTTAAACTTGGCTGTTGGTGTGCGCTTGAACTAAGGCTTGTATTTTCTCGGTTAAAGCTTTGATTTCGTCACCCATGTTTACTACACAAGATACTCCTACAAGATCTTCAAGAACACGTCAAGAAGTCCAAGAAACTTCTTCTTCTCCGCTGTGTTTGAACCGGGCTCTGATACCACTTGCTATGCAAACCAATCAAACGATCACCAACTTGTGAATGAGACCAATCACTATTCGATAGAAGCTCGCCACAACTAGACGCGTTCTCTAGTTGATAAGGGACACGTGAAACTACTGGAGACACTCAACAGAAGCTTGCACAAAGAAACTCGTTAGTATTGAACTCAAAACTTGACTTTGATTGTAAAAAACTTGGTGAATTACAATGGGGAATTGGACCCCTACTTATAGACTCTCTAACACTAATCCAAAGCATAAAAAGAAAGAAAACAAATTACCAAATGTTACACTTAAAAGAAAACATAAATCCTTAACAATTAAGTAAAAGACTAAGTCAACAACTCTCCTAGAATCTAGCCTTCAAATCCGCCACTCTCATGTGTTCACACCTATGGTTCCTTTCACTCTTTTCACACTTGTATTCCTTTCACATCATGGGATATCTTCATTCCTTCTAGGCCGGATTCTCTTCGTCTTTTTTAAGCTCATCCTTTCTTCATTGTGGTCCACAAATCGTAGTAATGTGATGGGCTTCCCAATATGTTGATCCACGTCCATTTGAGCAAAGTGATGATCCAAATAACCAGCAAACTCTTCCCTTAACCTCTTAGCTTGTAATCGTGTAATTGGACCTTCCTGTGATATTGCGGACTTGATTTTTATGACCTCATCATAATGTCTACAATATTGGAAGGTATAATAAGAATAGAAAAACAAACAAAATTAAAAGGTAAATTTATTTCTCATTATGGTTGCGATGAATTTTTTTGGATTGGTAGGGCAGATGGTTGATATTCCTTTGTTTGGTAGTGCATTCTCAAACATTCACAACAACTACTAATCTTGAGAATAACTAACAAGAAAAAACACTACTAAACTTGAGAATCACTAACAAAAAAAGTGAGAATCACTAACAAGAAAATACTACTTAATTGGAGAATCACTAAAAAGGAAAACACTATTAATATTGAGATTTACTAATAAGTCAAACTCCAAAAAAAATAAATTACTTACAATGAAAACACTACTACATCAGAAAAAAAGACTGTCATATTTTGTTGTAAATGATACCAAACAGTAAACTTGAAAATTACTACTAATATAGATCTGACCAAATTGCAGAGCTACCTTGTATCTAGGGTGGGCTCCCCCCCCCCCCCCCCCCCCCCCCCACCCCCCCCCCCTCCCCCCTCTCGGGATTGGTCCAGACCCCTAGGCCCTTAAGGATATTTAGTACAAATTTATAAGTAGAACTTGTTTTGTAAATTCTATCATGTAATAGTTATGTGGTCTAATGGTAGCCAAACTTAACTTGTGTCTTAAAACACATGAGTTCAATCTACATTAGTTACATATTTTTTTTAATAATTTTCGGCCCCGGTCTCGAAATCTTGGCTCAGCCCCTGACCTAAAGGTCTCCATGATAGAACTTTGTTCAACAGATGACTTGAAGGCCTCCAAATAATAGCTGAGAGCGGTGTAGGCGAGGTAGCACAGGCCAAGCCGATGCAGACGAGGCGACAAATGCAAGGGTGGAGGAGGCGAGGCAGATGCAGACAACAACAAAAATGGCAAGGATGACGTATGCAATGCTGTCGAGGTTGAGTTTGAGGTTGATTGCAGTGACACAGGCGAGGGGGACGCTGTCGAAAGCGACACAGGCGAGGACGGCTACAGCGACAAGGAGGTGAAAACGGCAAGGGCAGAGATGGCGTTAACGACAAGGACTGCAAGGTTGACGATTATTCCAATGGATTGCTCAGATATTGCAAGAGCGAGGAAACGATAGAAGAAGGGAGAAGGGAAAAACAAGAAATAGACGGAAAAGGAAAACATGACTTGTATACTTACTCAAAATGCGTTTCTAACAAAACCACCCTTAAATTGACATAAACATGAACACACAGACAGAGAGAGAGGTGGGAGTAGAGGTGTTCATTAGGGTTCGGTTTTTCGGGTTTACCCCGAAACCGACCCGGTTATATACAGTGTCGGTTTTTCAGGTTCGGGTTTGTTTCGGGTTTCGGGTTTTTCGGGTTTCGGGTTCTGTTTTGCTTATTGGTTTTTCGGATTCCGATTGAAAGCCTCCAATGAATAGAACTCAACTCGTATTCTTAGGTGTTCGCGTTTTCGGGTTTCTGTTTTGCTTTAACCGAACCCGATAAGGAATTTTCGGGTTTCGGTAAACCGGAACCCGCAAGTTCTTATCGGGTTCGGATTCGGTTTTTAGTGGTTTTCGGTTTCGGATTTTTTGGGTTTCGTTCGGGTAACCAAACCCGACCCGAACTGACACCGCGAGGTGGGAGGAGTTATTAGCTAGGGGTGGGCAATGGGCATGTTGGGTGGATTTTCGTCTAAAATTGACCCACCCACTTACTAGCGAGTTGGAATAATTGTGACCCGCAATCCACCAGCATTCTTCTACGGGTCGTGTTGGGTGGGTGGCAGATGGGTGCGGTTGGGTCGTGGTTTAACCCGCAAAAGCAATCCTCTATCTAGCCATTAAGAAAGTTGACTAACATTTATAATAAGCTCAAGCAAATTAGGAAAACTGTATCAATTTAGACACTTCTCACTTTGTCTCAAGTGAGTCCAAGTAGTATTTGCATAAAAAATTTCACTACTCTATGATCTCTATCAACCAATTGTGTAGAGAAAACTTACGCATTTTGTGATTCTAATACAATTAATAATTTATAGTTTTCATTCTAATATTTAATGGATATTACCAATAATTTGCATTCCAATGTCCAAAATCTAATCGATATTACACAATACAATAACCAATAAAAATAGTTAAAACTATTCTTTATTCTCCACCTTTAAAAGTATATGGTCAAACTGTAGTGCAGTAAGAAAATATGGCGAATATTCGATACTATAAGAAATAATATTTTTTCATGTGAAAATAGGATGCGGATCATTCGGGTGACCCACAATCCACCCACCACCCACCCGCATAAGTGCGGTTGTGAGATTTATCAATCCGCAATCCACCTACATCAATCACCCACTGCTTGCGGATCGGATTATTTGCGGGTGGATCGATATCAATCCGCGGATTAACCACCCACGTGCCCACGGATAATAATATTAGTCGTGCTAACCTATTAGAGATGTCCTGTGTGTAGATGTGGCAATTCTCAATCCAATTCACCAACCCATTAAAAATATCCACATAATCCAATCCATTTAAATCCAATCCATTTGATCCAAATCCAATTGGATTGGTGGATTAATAGATTGATCCATGAATCCAAATGACAAATTACGGCCTGGTACCTATACTTTTTGGTACCCAAAATTTAATTTTATATACGAAATATATCATTGGAAAATTACGTTTTGGTACCTAAAAGTTTTCATTATGACATTTTAGTACACTACAACAAACTGAACTTTCTGCGACGAATTCTATTGCAACGACAACAAATTCGTCGCAAAAAGAGTACAATTTGCGACGAATTCTATTGCAACGACAACAAATTCGTCGCAAAAAGAGTACAATTTGCGACGAATTTTATTGTTTCGTGGCAAATCAGGTTAATATTCAACCGTGAATAGATAGAGGCTTTCCCGACGAATATTTATTTTTTCGCGACGAATTTAATCGTCGCTTATAACGATGCAAGCGGCAAAATCGGTGAGATTGTGTTTTTTTTTTTCTTCTGTTTTTTGTTGTGCTTATAGATTCTAACTTGGTTCTTATTGCAGGTTGGGTATTAAAGAAGCTTGCTACTATTCTCTAAACCAATGGTTAGAATTAGGGGGTTTTAAATGGCCAATCTCGATTGTGGATGTAGATCTAAACTAGTCGCGTGGTTATCTTGGATGAGATAAGGTTTTGGGGTTGACGAGATACCATGTGATTTTGGACCAGAAAATAAATTGGGAGCAACTACAAAAGTGATAAAAAAATTGAATTATGATAAATATACAAAATTTAATAATGAATTTTTCCAAAAAAAAAAGTCACCGCTAAAGAGAATCACTTTCTGCGACGAATTTGTTTGTCGCGAAACAAGCGTTTCGGGGACTGAGGAGCTACTATCGACGCCAAATAATTGTTTTCGGCGACGGCATGTACGTCGCCAAAGCGTAGTTCCTTCACCGACGAAATGATTTTTTTGCGACAGATCCTGTTAATTTCGTCGCAAAACTTTTTGCACGCTGTATTGGCGACGAAAATGAGTTTCTTTTTGCGACGGATAAAATCGTCGCCGAAACCTTTTTGCGACGGATTTGAGGTTTTCTGCGACGAATTGTTTTGTCGCAAAAAGTGAAGTTTCTTGTAGTGGTACCTAAACTTTTCACATTTTACATATTGATCCTTGGTTAAGGATGTCATTTGGATTCATAGATAATCCACAAATCCACTTGATCCAATCCATGAATCCACCAATCCATTTGATCCATGGATCCACTAATCCAATCCATGAATCAATTCATTTGCCACCTCTACCAGTGTCTCTCATTCCTGGGTTACAACCATTAATTAATTTTTATTTATGTTTTTTTTAGCGATAATTAATTAGGTCCCGGAACGGAAAGGGCAAATTAAAAAGAGGGAAAAGAAAGTTAAAAAAAGGCAGGCGCATCGATACGGAAATGGGCGTAATTATTGAAGAAAGTCCTACCATGCTCATCATCACCGTCCAATAATCCTCCAGCTCCGTGGTGATAGTGAAACTGGTGATGGGCATACGCGTCATCAGTAGTCGAAACCACCTGATCGTCAACACCGTAATCCACGGGATCGTTATTCCTACCGGCCGACGTCGACAGACCATCCAAAGCGTAGTGTGACGCTGGGAGCAGATCTTTGCTAGTGTCGGCCGAATCATCATTGAGAAGGGAGTCGAGGAAGGCAAGGTCATGGTTGGTGTGTGGCGGGGGATCGTTTTGGCCTTGGGAGGATGTCGCTGCGGTGGAAGATGAAGCCAAAGAGAGGATGGAGTCGAGACAGTGCAGCAGCGGGTGGGCCAGCCGGCTAGCCATCTTGTTGAGCAGCTTTGCTGATGATGAGCTGGGACGACGCTGCACGACGTCGTTTTCTGCTCCCGCTTGTTCTGTGTTGATGCGGCGGCTTGGAGCCGAAGCCGAGGAGGAGGCAGTGGTGGTGGTGGGGCTGTGTCTGTGTCTGTGTGTGGTTGCATCAAAGAGGCGCTTCTTGAGATGTGTGTTCCAATAATTCTTGATCTCGTTGTCCGTTCGCCTGGGAAGATGTCTGGCTATGGCGGACCACCTGCAAACAATAATAACAAAGATCGATTCATCCGTCTCATCATCACCATTCGTATTCGTAATATAATATTATACTTTTGCTGATCATTACCATATTCTTTCTTTTTCGTTGCAACGATACACGTGAAGCCTCTGACAATGCACAATGCACAGTGACAGACACATATCTATAATTAATTATTAATTAACCGCGTGCCAAAGCAATGGCTGGCTAGCAATGTAGTCCCTCTGGCCTCTGCTTTTGGTCACTACACGACAACAATTATCATTCAACTTTTTACTGTTTGGATGTTATCGTGTTATGTCGATCGATGTTTCTGGTACTAGTACTGCACTTTGACACTAGCAAGGCAACCAGGGTTTTAAACTTAGTAAGAAAGAAACAAGTACTAGTAGCAGTGCACTTTCCTCCATAAAATAATATTTTTCTTCTAATTTTCTTCACTCTCAAATATTTCCTCCTCTTCTAATTTTCTTCCTTTTCTTCGGAAATATAGTGTTTAACTTTAATCACCACAATTTTCTTTTCAGCCCTTGATTTTTTATGGTAATGTTATTGGTAGAAAGGATTAAGCACATGGTGCATTTGATTTCGTGGCAGGTACGCCATCAATAGTATTAGTGCGTACCAAAAACAATAATGGATCGGAGAAAACTGAATTGAGAGATCGATCAATAAGAATGGCTTGTTTGTTTGGTGTATTTTCAAAATGAGTTAACACGGAAACAAAATTAATTTTGCTACCAACCTGTAATATATTGCTTGGTTAGTATTTATTTACAATTCCAAAAACAATTATACCATTGTACAATCAAACTATGCTATCTTTATAAAATAAGAAAGAAATAGTTTCAAACATTTTTTTTTTTTTTTTTGACAAAAGATAATCTTATATTGATCTCAGAAAAGATAGTTACATCCTGGATAACAGCCAGACCTGATAATTGAAAACACGACTCATAGCCGGGTACAAAGAAAGGGCTTTCCTAGCCACTACATGGGCTACCCTATTGTTCCGCCGACCTACGAACCGAATACTAAACCCAGGATTACTGCCAAAAAGACTATTATTGCCACCGCTACCCTATAATAGTTTCAAACATATTATTCGGAACAAATTGAAACTTTCTAATTTTAGCTAGCCAACCATAGTAAAGATGGGAAGCGGTGGGGAGTGAACGCAAAGGAAGATGCTGCACATATATGTTCAACACAACATCGTTACAAGATGTATATGCAAAAGGACGGATCAATGATGCATTCTGCTTGCTTTTTTCCTTTTCTTTTTAATGACGAGACGTGTTTTGTTTGTTATACAATAATTTTTATTTCAGTCTTCAAAGAAGAATGTCATGTGTTTGTTTGTTAGAGCATACTCATTAATCCAATCAGCGTAAGTTGGTTATGAATAGTTTGAACCCTAGTAGTGAGTTCACAGGAGAAGAGTGAACAAGTCACTCAATTGAAAGGAGAATAAGGAAGTTGCTCGAATGTAACAAATTACAAATGTTGTCTCTATAAACACCTAAACAGTTTATACAATTCAACTCATATTAATTTTAGGATAATGATTATTTATTAGCCAAACGTTTTTTCGCGTTCTTTTTTATTAAACAAATCTATCGAAATACTAAGAATTAGTCAAATGTTAACTTTAACAATTTTGTTAGTAATATTGACTTGGCAACATAATGCAGACTTGGAAGAGACACATGAAGGTCAGCATTCCAAAATTTTAGTATTTTAACTAAGAAAATAGTTACAAAATGATTAATGATAATGTAAAAATGGCTAATATTTTGATGCATTACGAAAGATTTGTCTAATTAGTAGCATATTAATAGGTTTGGATAATATAAAAAAATTGAAAAAGATTTGAATAAAAAATAGACATTACCTTTAATTTTATTGCGCCTATGTTAATGTAATTCACTTGCAATTTACCACTTTGACTTTCGTATGCAATTGAATTTATTGTAAAATTGAAAATATGTAATAACAGGTCATATCAATGCAATTGATTTTGCATTTAAAATGGAAACCAATCTGTTTTCTTCTTATGAGAGACAAAATAAAAATAGCGGTGTTTCAGTTTTGGCTAGGATGGTCAACTCACCCGTTTCGCGGTTTTTTCATTGCGTTTGTGGCTATCATCATGATACTATATGTGGCCCCTATTCTTGAATACTTTTACCAAGGATTGCGAGAGATTATAATGTAAAAGTTAGTTGTAAGATATTTTGTACTTAAAATTATAATTTAACGAGAGTTCAATTGTTTCATACTACTAAAATCACATACTCATTTAGGTTTTCAATATGCTTGCTAGTTCAATACGGTTCCACAAACAGTGTCATTTAGTGGACAGATTCACACATTGGTATTTTTGTACATAACTTTAATGGACAATTCAATGACTAAATATGTACAGAATCTAACGATATCAAAACAAATAAGTAGCCCACATCATGCTGGAAATAGGTGCGAATTGTGTAGTCCAAGATCTTCACTTGGGAAACCAACAAAAAAAAAACATTTTTGGGAGACAAGCTCAGTTTTGAATAAAGATTCTCCTCCTAGCATGATAACTTCAACATTAGACCACGCATTGAATTGTATTGTTTTTTAATTTCACTAATATATATAAACACTATCTAGACATCGAATTAGTAGGATTTTTGGGCATGATACTATACCATAACCCTTAATGAGTGATCCCTAGGTCCTAATTATCTAAATCATAAACTATAAACTCTAAGATGGTGCATTGATTTTTTTGCCTATATTTTGACGAATCATAACCGTCGATTATTATTTCTAATTAAATTGATCTCGGGGTATAAGATTTAGAGAATTAAGACCTAGATGTTTATCTTTAAGGGTTAGAGTATAGTATCATGTTCCGAAAGATCAGTCAATTCAAGTTTTGGATAACATTTTCTTACTCAAAGTATGTGGTACCCCGGATTTCACCTTGGATACGTAAAACTCCCCATATATGAATATGCAAAGTATATTTATATTGGAACACCTTCATCCCCACCAAAGGTCATATTCAACATACTTAAGCCCTTCTTCCTCGCCCAAAGGTCATATATACTACAGCTCACTAACGACTCAACGTCCGTGCAATTAGTGTCCCCCGGCAACCCGTCCCCCAACCAAAAAAGAAAAGACGACAAACAAAAGGAGCAATGATTGAGGTTGTGGAACACTAGGAGTAGGCGTCTTGGACAGTTTAGACAATTATTTTCACTCCACAAATGTCACAAGCGATTAACCCAACGAGAAGGAGATGACAAAGTGTCCATATGTAGAATGAGAAGCAATATTGACCAAAAGCTGAATGGTGATGATGACTATTTCTGATGTAACAGCAACTACTATTTGCAAACCTAATTGGAGAAGCATTTAAGACCATCTACTTCGGACTTTCTACATCAATAAATTTTAGCACCATTGGTTAATCTTAGCAAGGTTGCTGTTTTTTTATGCCAAATGGTAGGATGACAATTATCCACCCGTGAATAATTTTACCCAAATCAATGAATGAAGTCTCCATGAGTTTGGATATTTGTTGAGTAGACTTAGGTGGAGTATGAGTATTGTGTTCATACTCTATTTGGATATCCGTTTGCTTATTTATTTATTTGAGGTTTTTTAACTATAAATACGAAATTGGACTTGTTTGTACAATTTTAAAAGTTTAGGAGAATAATTAAATTTAGATATTAAATCCGAGTATTGGTGCAAATCCAATTCCATGGATTTAAACTCATCCCAAATAAATGGGTATGTTTATAAATATCCATTTACTTTGTATTTTGGTCTCATCCCCAACTTCCATGAGTTTGGCAAAAGTGTCATCCCTATTAGTTACTATATATTTTCTTTTTAAGTCCAAAGGGTTAATCTAGTGCCAATGTGGGGGATGAAAACATGTATGGCATTCTGAGTTAGAATCATTGGACCAACATGAAACACGTTGGAAAGAAAGAAAGAAAAAAACAATATTTTGGTTGATTGAAAATAGTACATGAAAGTTGAAATATATTGAAATCTACTTTAAAAGTCCAGGGTGTAGATGTAGATGATTGTTGGAACTCATTAATTGAAGTAATGGTTAAAGTTGATGTTAATAAATAGTAGGGACTAGGGAGGGAGCATGCACGTCTAAAATGATTTGATGGTAATAAAAATCAAAATCATGTTGGGATCTCGGGCGGGTGGGTACCTGTTGCCAAGGGAGGCGTGCAGCTCAAGGATCCTCTCTTCATCCTCTGGGCTGAACTCTCCTCTTTTGATGTCCGGCCTCAGGTAGTTGGCCCACCTCAGCCTGCAACTCTTCCCGCACCGCTGGAGACCTGTATGCACAATATTATTTGTTAATAAAGATTTTGAGATAATCGTTGCATGTGTACGTTGTAATTAATTAATTAATTAATTAATTAATTAATTAAGGTTTCAGATACAGAATCTTGGAGGAAGAAGCTAGCTTAGGCTAGTATATATATGGAGCTGACCTGCTTTCTGGGGGAGAGTTCGCCATCCTCCTTCGCCGTGCTCTTGAATGTAGGCGATAAGCTTCTGGTCTTCCTCGCTCGTCCACGCTCCTTTCTTCAAACCAACCACATTGCAGCATGGACTTCTCCCCATCATCGATCTCTTCCCGCTACCTGCTTACCTGGCCCTACACACACACATATGTACTTGTCTATAACTGAATGGGCAGGCTAATTTTTCCGCAACATATTGGGGAGGGAAGGAATATAATGAAAGAAATAAAAGAGATCTATTATTGAAGGGGCAGAATCCTGACATTTTTGGTGGTTGGCTGCTGCTATCTGATTACCCTTTCAGACCAGTGATTCGATCAAGTGACCAACCAACTGTACTATATATGTGAACACTAGTACCATTTACCTACATTCTTCCTCTCATTCGGAATGGCACATTAATTATAGAGAAATCACATATCCCCCATTGTTAATGTTACCTACATTGGGTTGCAGATTGCCAGAGATCAGCTAGAGTTAGGGAGAGGGAGTGGGCAAGGGAGAGAGTACTAAAGTGTCAGAGAGAGTGGGTTTTGAACTGAGGGATAACGGGTCGACCTCATTATATACTTTTTTTTGTTTGTTTGTTTGCAGAAACCCTCATTTTCTACCTATGGAAAAGTTTCCTTGTCTCCTCTACTCATAAAACACCTAATGGAGAACCAAGCTTTTTCTATTTACTTTCATCCTTAGTGCCCATAATTTGTGGATTAAATTCATGTTTTTCATATAAAAAAATTAAATGAGTTGAATTCATAGTAAGCAAGGTTGTTAATCCGGTAGCCCGTTGCACCGCTTGAGCAAGTAGGTTGAGGGTTAATGATAGGATCGTTTTAGCTCGCATATATAAAAAGTCATTATATTGTTCCTACATTTATAAATTATATAAAATCTCATCCAATATATGAGTAATAACGTATGACACCACATTAAAATAACAGATCGTACTTGGATCCAAAACATAGTGAAAACCAGAAATGAGGATTAGTCAATAAGGAAAACAAACATTAAGGTTAGTCGAAGAGTAAAACCGGAATTGAGGCGCATTTTGCAAACCAGATGAAAAAACTACATCGTCTGATCTTCAACTCAATAACCTTACAACGGGTCAACCTAGAAGTGTATGCGGCTCATTTTCTCAACGGGTCAGGATCCAAATGGGTCGGGTCGGGTCGACCCACAAGTTGACAATTGGTAAAACATCATTTTAAATATATTTCAAAATTAAATTTATTTTAGATATAACATCAGCTTGAATAAATAAAATTTCCACTTTTGTGAATAATTATCATCGTTGCAGGAATACGCACAAGATAGTACATGAAAAACCATCAATTTTCATAAATAGACACTACAATTTGTGAATTATATGCTGATAATACCTTTAGAAAAAATGAACCTTTCTCCATTTCTTTTTCTTGTTCTTTTTTTATTTCAACCTTTCTCCTTTTCTGATAAACCCTTATCATCCTTTTGGGTTTTCATATATTTGGCTGCTTCCAGGAACGCTATTCCTTTTATTTTGTTCCGATCCTTCCTCTGCCCAATTAGGGTATGACCCTCAGATCACATGTTCCACACATAATTATGCATGGCGACAAATTCCATTCTCAAATTCCTTTCAACTAATTATTAATGTTCGATGATTAGTGGTTCAGAGCCATGTTATTTGGGCATCGAATTTCAATATTACTCTTATCTAAGTGCCTCTCCAGATGAAAACGAGTCGGATTGGGGTACCGTGTAGAATGACAATTCAGTACTATACATATCTTATAGATCTTATATGGTTTGGATTTTATTCGTATTCATATTTATGTAGGATTCTGGTAATAAATTAAAATATGTCCATATCAAATTGGATTTCAATATTTATGGATAATAATTTTCATTTATATTCTCAATACTATTGTGTTACTAATCTCAAGTATATTAACATTACATAAGTAAAAAATTGAAAATAAAAAATCACCAATATTAAGAAATAAAAAAAGTACTCATTGAAGGGATGCTACAAATATACCGGGAATACCAAATATGTTAAAATAAAAAATGAAGATTCATACAACACATTGTACATGTATATATAATCGGACAAGTTCGAGTTGCATAATAAAAAAATCATACCATCACATTCTTCGTAATATTCAAGTTCAAATTTACTCATATTACCAAATATTTTATTTAAATTGAATTTTACCTACCTAATTGGACAACGAATATTTAAGTCATTCCTACCTCGTCTCGATATCTTTCTCTTTCTAGTTTCTACGGCTTGGGATACAGTTAGTAACCATTGGTTACTGACCTATGAGTAACTAAATCTGGACCTTTAGATCTTAGTAGGTTCAGAAAATCCAGATCTAAGGGTTGTAAATTAAAGATATTTTATTTTCCCTAGTTTTCTTAATCGGCTCTAATATTCTTCGATCTAACTTGGATTTCAAATTTTTTTTTTTTTGCACAGATGGAACGAGTTTGTTGTGCTCTACAAAATGAGATCAATTTTCAATATATTTTGATAAACTTTTTTTTCATACCTCCCGTTACCAACTACATACCATATGGTAACTTCATCGGTTTTAAGTCGTTTTTGAAAACATTTGCTCAGAAGGAACGAGTTCATCATGATCTATTGGATATATCATGTATTCAACCTTCCTACCATATTGGTATGTTCATACCATCATGGTACTTTTTCTTACCATATGGTATTAAATAGAAGCATACCATATGGTATTGACTGGTAAAAAAAGACTCAATTTTTTTTTTGTTTTAAAAATATATCAAACTGGATATCATTTTAAAAAGCACAATTAATCTGATTTATCTGTGCAAAAAAATTAAATTTTAACTTAAAATGAGAGAGAAATCGTCCATTAAAAATTAAAGGGGAAAAGATAAAAGACTTTCTATGAGAGAGAGGGATACTAATGTCAAACTAATGTGGACGGGTTATTCATGATTACTCACCTGATCCTCTCTCAGTTTTACTATGGTCACCCCAGTAAGTTTAGCACTTTTCCTATTCCTCTTACTTCTATAAATGCGTCCATTTAGTTGGGAATGATATTTACATAATTGGTTAATTTCCTTTTATTTTATTTTGTTTAATTTTGCATTAAAAGGACTAATATAATGGGTGTCGCTCACGGCAAAAATGGTATAATTGTTTCATCTTAGTGAGTTGTTTTTCACCGATTTCTAATAATTGTTTCGTATATTTATTGAAATAATAGGCAATTACATCCTCGACCGAAGTCAGTACAAAAATTTAAATAAACGACTCGTAATCGGGTACAAAGGATGCGTCTTTCTAGCCACGAAAAGGACTATTCTATTACTACGACGACCTATAAATCGAACATTAAACCTAATATGCACCGCAAAATAGCCAACAATCTCCTCCAAAATAGCCCCCATCTGGTTGTCCTGGATATCTGGCTGATTGATCTTATCAATAATCACCTAAGCATCACCATCAAACCTGACCTGCGTGAATCCCTGGCTTAAACACCAGAGAATAGCATCGCGGGGAACAAGCAACTCAACAACCATAGGATAAAAAATCTCTGAAAATTGCATGCCTTTAGCCAAGAGGATTGTCCCATCATGACTCAGGACAACCATCCCGCCTGCCGTATGAGATCCACTACTAGTGGCTCCATCCCACATACAGACGATCGAGTTCGGAGACACAGTGCCCAGATTATGAGTTGTTGGGATGGAAGATGGGATACTATAGTTTGCAGGCAAACTAATCCACTCCGATATTGTTGGTTGAATTGCCGCATTAGATCTGGGATCCCAAATTGTTTTCCATCAAATACCACCCAGTTTCTTGATCTCCATATTTGCCAAAGGATCGCCACAACCGCCATGAACAGTTGCGGCTGATTTATGAGCATCATTACCTGTTTCAGGAAGAGGGGGAAAGTGTGATGAGGAAACCCTTGACCAATATATTTAAGCCCCGAATGATCCCATAAGGCACGAGCCACTGGGCAATCAAGGAACAAATGTTCCATCGTTTCGAAGTCCTCCCAACAAATCGGGCACCGAGGAAGCACTTGGACATCCTTATCAATTAGGGATTCCATCATAGGGAGGATGCGATTTAAGACTTGCCATACAAACATTTTCAGCTTTGGTGGAATATTGGACTCCCACAACCGAATCCAGCTGGGCCTATCCATCCAACTAATCGTTGATCGCCAAAGCCCACCTTGCTTATCTAATAAGACAACAAAATGGTAGGCCGACTTGATAGTGAAGACCCCATCCGTCGTGGCATGCCAGATCAACTTATCCTCCACATTTTGACGAGGAAGAGGAATAACTTTGATGGCCCGACACGTTGGTGGGTGAAACCACTGCCTAAGTTTCAGGTCACACCATAGCCCCTCCCCTTGACATATAACCTCCGCTACTGGCGGGTCACCATCACTAGGGAGTACCTGAGGGTTATATTGAGGGGGTTGAGGATGCAACCGTGGGATCCAATCGGAGTGCAGCAGAGAAGCCTTTTGACCATTGCCAATCTGCCACCGTAAATCCTTCACTAATAACTCCTGGCCATACAAGATACATGTCCCAGTAGGGAAATACTTCCCTTTGTAAACCTGGCCACATGTCTGTCCAAGAGCCGACAAAGCGGCAGAGGCAATTTGAAACATGACATAACATGTAACAACAAGGCTAAGGCGAGCGATCTAATCAAAGTTTCCTTAGCCTCCCAAGACAATGTCCTTTGTTTCCAGCCTTACAGTCGTTCCAACAATTTCTCCTCCAAATACCGAAACGTAGCCAATTTAGATTGGGCTATCAGTGAAGGTAACCCTAGATACTTGTCATGGACCCCCACCGCCCCAACTCCTAGAATTTCTACCAAGAATTCTTGATCTGGCAATGCAATATTCTTGCTAAAGCAAACTGTCCACTTAACCAAATTCACCCTTTGGCCACTAAGTTCCTCATATTCATTTAGAACCTCAATCAAATTCTCATATTTCTGGAGAGAACCTCTAAGGAATAAATAAGAATCATCCGCAAAAAACATATGTGAGATACGAGGAGCCCTAGGTGCTAGTTTGACAACTT